GTGTTCTACATCCAATTATCCCCCTCTGCAGCGGCCAAGCCCTCCCCTATAAACCCTTTAAGCAGATCCATCCCACTGTGCTGAGATTGCTTCCCCTCCCAGCACATGGCTCCGAAAATAAACAGCTTGTAAAAGCCCCGTGGAAAGGCAGGACTAATGAGTGCAAAGCCGGGCTTTGTGTCCGGGGGCCGGGGTTTTGATCTCCCCGTGTGCCGTTTGAACTCCGAGCTCGTTAAAGGGGCTGCTGGAAAAGGCCCGGCTGGAAACGCTGGAATTTAAATCAAAACCGCCCCCAGGGCAGACTGGGAGCTGCTCAAAAGGCACCTGCACTGGATCTCACAGGGATTCCCCCCCCTTCTCCCCTCGGTTTGCTCCCCTTGGGGTGGCAGGAGGGAGCGGGAATCGCGGGATTGTGGAATGGTTTGGGTGGGAAGGGACCTGAAAGACCATCTCGTTGCACCCTCCCTGCCATTGGAGTGACAGAATTGAGCCCATCCACGTCCTCACATCCCGTGTTCCCCTTTGGGAATTCATGGAATCCTGGGATGCTTTGGGTGGGAAGGGACCAATAAGCCCATCAATGCCACCCAAAGCCACGGGCAGGGACACCTTCCACTAGCCCAGGTTGCTCCAGCCTGGCCTTGGACACTTCCAGGGATCCAAGGGAAACCACAGCTTCTCTGGGAATTCCATCCCAGCCCCTCCCCACCCTCCCAGGAAGGAATTCCTCCCCAGTATCCCACTCAAATCTCTGTTTTCCCAGTTTGAAACCATTCCCTGTGTCCTGTCCCTCCATCCCTTGTCCCCAGTCCATCTCCAGCTCTCCTGGTGCCCCTAAGATTTGATGATCCAACCATCCCCCAGCACTGCCAGGGCCACCTCTGACCATGTCCCCCGGTGCCACATCCCCAGGGCTGTTAAATCCCCCAGGGATGGGGATCCACCCCTGCCGGGGCTGGACGTCTATTCCCAGGAAGGGATTTTCCCCAAATCCAACCTAAACCAGAAGTTTCAGCTTTAGATCCCCAGGGCTGAGCCTGGCAGGTCTCAGCTCCTGCAGGGTTATCAGATGGTCCTGGCACAGCCATGGGGGCAATCCCAGGTGGGCTGGATGGGAATCTTTGGGCACAGGGAGGGCTCAGCCCCCACATCCCACAGGCACCAGGAGCTGGAAAAGGCCTGGGGAATTGATTGGGAACGTTCAGCTTCACGTCCCAGATCCAGCAGCAGTCGAGTGCAGCTGCCAGGGCCGAGTTCAGGAGGTTCTGTAGGGCAGGAAAGGGTGGGCAGGGAATGCCAGAGCAGATGGAATGTGCCGTGGACTGGTCTGGGACCATCGTGGCAGGAAGGACATGGAGGGGCTGGAGTGTGTGCAGGGAAGGGAACGGAGCTGGGAAGGGGCTGGAGCAGCAGGAGGGGCTGAGGGAGCTGGGGGGGCTCAGCCTGGAGAAAAGGAGGCTCAGGGGGGACCTTCTGGCTCTGCAATCCCTGACAGGAGGGGGGAGCCGGGGGGGGGGGGGGG